GACCTTGTGATCCACCCGTCTCGGCCTCCCAAAGTGCTGGGATTACAGGCTTGAGCCACCGCGCCCGGCCGAAATTTTTATTAAAATAAAGTTTTAATTTTAGAGAGGATTTTGATTTTCTTTGGTTTTTTTTTTTGGTTTTTTTTTTGAGACGAAGTCTTACTCTGTCGCAGGGGCTGGAGTGCAGTGGCCGGATCTCAGCTCACTGCAACCTCCGCTTCCCGGGTTCCAGCGATCCTCCTGCCTCAACCTCCCGAGTAGCTGGGACTATAGGCGCCACCACCACGCCTGGCTAATTTTTGTATTTTTAGTAGAGAGTCTTTCACCATATTGGCCAAGCTGGTCTTGAACTCCCGACCTCAGGTGATCTGCCTGCCTCGGCCTCCCAAAGTGTTGGGATTACAGGCGTGAGCCACAGCCCCGGGGTCCTACCGTAGTGTCAGATGTAGAAAAGTTGCAGGCGCAGTGCAGAGAGCTCCCTGCCCCGCTGCCTCACTCCCCGTGGAGGACCCCCGGGGCAGTCCTCCCACCTGAGCTGACCCGCAGTGATGGGTGCACACGTGATGCAGATGTGTGCCGTCTCCCAGTGTCCTTTCCGCTCTGAGAGTCCACGTGGCGTTTGATCGCCCGTCTCCTGAGGCTCCTCTGGGGTGACAGTTCCTCAGACCTCCTTTAGCAGCTTCGAGGACTGGCCTTGTGTTTTGTTCCTCGTGTTACGTTCCTCAGTAGGGATTGTCTGATGTGTTTCTCAAAGTGGGCAGAGCTGGAGTTAACTTTCGTGTCCCTGGGTTCTGGTAGCTGCTGCTTAGAACTCAGGAGAGGCGAAGGGCTCTGTGTCCATGTTGTGAACAGATGGGTAGGCAGGAGATGGGTAGTTGTTTCTTCGGCCTCCCCTCGTGTCTTTCAGGCGAGCACTGTGTGTCACATGGGGATAGTGTTTAGGGCCCTTAGAGTGTCATCCCCAACCAGCAGCAGCAGCAGTCTCAGGGCAGGTGTGGGTAGTGCCGTCCCCGGCTGAAGCAGCACCTGCCTGTGGACATGTGCTCATCACGGTTGACAAAGCAGCTCTGCAGAACTTGGGCTCACCACAGTGGGAGCCAGAGCCAGCAGGGACAAAGCTGCAGGCGAGGCTTCTCACTGGCTGTGGAGTGGCGTGTCTGCCCTGTGTGTCAGTGGGTTGCAGAACTTAATAAAATCTCAGACCAGCCCTAGAGAGGAAATGTTTGTCTCTTGCAATAAAGCCACAGGTAAATCACCCTAGCTTTAGGGGTTACCATTTTCTTTAGAAAATCTGGAGGAGTGAGGAAAGGAGCAGACAGTTAACAAAACAAAAAAAAAAAAAGAGAAAATGTGGAAGAGTTCTTCCTTCACGGAAACCAGTGAAATGTGGCTGTGGCAGTGTTTTCTGTGGTCGGGCCAGGCCACCCCAGAGGCAGGGCCACCGGCACAGGACAGTCGGCATCTTGAGTGTTTTCCAAGATCCCACTTAGAGTGGCTGAAATTCCCTTCTCCAAATTGAGAGGTCCCAGCTCACACAACAACTCAGATTCCTTCTCCCGGTGTTGTGTCAATCAGGAGGGTGCAGCGTTTTACCCGTCTCCTTCCCTGTAGACACGCACATCTTGTCTGGTGAAAGAAATTGCAGTTGCCAAAAATAAGCCAAGATTTTGAAGGGAAGTAGAAAAATTAATGAGGCTGGCCACCGGAAAATCATTTATGAGGTTGAGATGGGGGTGATTCTTCTTTGGGAGCTGCCTCCGTGCCTCCGCTTCCCTGGGAAAGTAGCCTGTCCCGGGTGTCCTGCACACAGACAGGCCCGCATGCCTCTCGTCACCTCCCTGGGACAGAGATGCTCTGTGTCTGTCCTGGGGACTCACACACTGCTGTGCCTGTTCTTTCCAGCTGGCAAACGCCCTTCTGGAAAAGGAAGTGATAAACTATGAGGACATCGAGGCTCTCATTGGCCCGCCGCCCCACGGGCCGAAGAAAATGATCGCACCGCAGAGGTGGGTCGACGCCCAGAGGGAGAAACAGGACTCGGGAGAGGAGGAGGCCGAAGAGACCCAGCAGCCCCCACTTGGAGGCGAAGAGCCGACTTGGCCCAAGTAGCTGGGACGTGTTGGCCGCACGTGTGGGTGACCCGAGAACTGAGGGCTCACTCAGCCACCCTGCGTTGCTTTTCAACTGAGGTTTGCACTTCCTCTTGCGGCCCTCAGTAGTCCCTGTGCAGCGACTTCTGAGATCTGTTTGTTGATTACCCTTTTCATGATTGTAAGTTTCTCTGCAGAAACAACTGGCCAAGCCTTGTGTGTGTGCGTCGTCTCCCCTGTGGGGAAGGTTCTCAGTGCGTTCCTGAGTGAGCATGGAACACCTGAGTTCCCAAGGTTCTAGACAGTCGTTTCCAGCGTGGCTGAGGCCACCCAGAGGCAGCAGAGCATTCAGACTCCGAACAGACCGCTGTTCATGCCGACGCTTGCACGGCCTCCCAGTTCCTGTGGCTCCCTCAGAATGCTAACGGGATCGGACATGAAAGGACCCTCTGAGCCAGCAGCCCCGTCCTCCAGCTCACTCGTCAATGGGGCCACACAGTCCGGCCCAGGCACTGGGCTCCAGGGGACTCAACACTGCCCCCTGCTGCCATGTGGACGGTGCAAGTTGAGGACTTCTTGCTGGTCTAGTCACACATGCAGTGTTGGGGGATGCCTTGGTTTTTTCTGCCCTGAGAACTGTTGAGACACTTTACTAATAAACTCTGTGGTTGGAAAATTACATTTGCATTGTCTGGCCAGCTCTAATGCAGGGCAGCTGGCGGGCTTACCTTGGATCACAGGGTCTTGTGGTTTCAGTTTGTCATTTGAGTAATGCAGGGACTAAGTGGAAAACTCCTGTAGGAGTCGGGGGCCTGGACCCTGTAGGGATAGAGGATGACCCAGGACGCCCTGGCCCTGTGTTCCGGGACATGCGGCTCCCACTCTGGCCTCCTTGCGTTGGCCCTCCCTGTGGTGCAGTGACGTGAGTGGATTGTCCTGTTGTTGCTGCAACACCGAGTGCCCTGAGAAACGCCGGCCGAGCAGTAAGGAGGCAGCCACAGGTGCGGTCACACACCCAAGTGGGGGCATCTCTGAGAGACGCCTTGACCTTTGCCCAAGTTCTCCAAATCCAAAGAGCAGCACGTAGTTGGGAAGGTTTTAGCTGGTGTAGCCAAGGGTCGTGTCCTCGGTAATCATTTTTTTCCTGTTGTGTGGGTTTTTGACAGTCTTGCTTTGTCGCCCAGGCTAGAGTGCAGTGGCGCCATCTCGGCTCACTGCAGCCTCGATCTGGGTTCAAGCGATTCTCCTGACTCAGCCTCCCAAGTAGCTGGGACCACAGGCATGCACCACTATGCCTAATTTTTGTATTTTTTCGTAGATACAGGGCTAGACTGGAATTTCTGAGTTCAAGTGATCCTCCTGCCTTGCCCTCCCAATGTGTTGGGATTACAGGTGTGAGCCATTGTACCAAGCCTTTTGTGAAATTATTTTACTATTTAAATTTTTTTGGGGGGGGGGTGGAGATGGAATCATGCTCTGTAGCCCAGTGGCGCTATCTTGGCTCTCTGCAACCTCCACCTCCCGGGTTCAAGCGATTCTCCTGCCTCAACCTCCCAAGTAGCTGGGGCCACAGGTGCGTGCCACCATGCCCAGCTAATTTTTTTTATTTTTAGTAGAGATGGTCCTCATCTCCTGACCTCGTGATCTGCCTGCTTCGGCCTCCCGAAGTGCTGGGATTACAGGTGTGAGCCACCACGCCCAGCCCTAAATTTTTTGTTTTTGAGACGGAGGCTTAACTCTGTCACCCGGGCTGGAGTGCAGTGGCACAGTCTTGACTCTAACCTCCGCTTCCTGGGTTCAAATGATTCTCTCGTCTGAGTCTCTGGAGTAGCTAGGATTACACGCGTACACTACCACGCACAGCTAATTTTTGTATTTTTAGTAGAGACAGGATTTCGCCATGTTGGCTAGGCTGGTCTCCAACTCCTGATCTCAGGTGATCCACTCGTCTTGGCCTCCCAAAGTGCTGGAATTACAGGCGTGAGCCACCATGCCCGGCCTGTGAAATTTTTTTTTTTTTTTTTTGACAGAGTCTTGCTCTGTTTCCCAGGCTAGAGCACAGTGGCGCGATTTCGGCTCACTGCAAGCTCTGCCTCCCCGGTTCACACCATTCTCCTGCCTCAGCCTCCCGAGTAGCTGGGACTACAGGCGCTGCCACCACGCCCGGCTCATTTTTTGTATTTTTAGTAGAGACGGGGTTTCACCGTGTTTGCCAGGATAGTCTCGATCTCCCGACCTCGTGATCCGCCCGCCTCCGCCTCCCAAACTGCTGGGATTACAGGTGTGAGCCATCGCGCCCGGCCGGGACTGTGAAATTCTTAAAATGTGGACTAAGTTTTACCAGGAGGAAGGGTGGTGATTGGGTGAGGGTAGGGAAGAAAGAGGGTTATTAGGAGTTACAGGTTTCCAGGTAGCAGTAAGATGGATGGTGCCTTCACAGACTTGCACTAGAGAGTAAGAGCTGGCTTTTTGTTGATGCTTTTCTTTGTGAAGGGAGGCAGTAGGCACAGCAGGTCAGAATGTGACATTTTCAGTCAGGTACCCCTGACCTTAGAGAAGTCACCTAATCCTGGGCCAAGGGAAAGCGGGGACAGGGGCCAACAGTAACTGCTCCTTACGGGGTTGTGTGGATTCGATGTGAAAATGCACATCCGGAACTGAACTCCCTGCTTACAAAAACACTCAAGAAATGTTAATTTTATCTTTTAAAAAACCAGCATAGGCCGGGCGCGGTGGCTCACGCCTGTAATCCCAACACTTTGGGAGGCCGAGGCGGGCGGATTGCCTGAGCTCAGGAGTTCGAAACCAGCTTGGGCAACACGGTGAAACCCCGTCTCTACTACGAAACTAAAATACAAAAAATTAACCTGGTGTGGTGGCGGACTACTGTAATCCCAGCTACTCGGGAGGCAGAGTTTGCAGTGAGCCGAGATCACGCCACTGCACTCCAGCCTGGGCGACGGAGTGAGGCTCTTGTCTCAAAATAAAAAAAGTTCTAACTGGATGGGAGGAGAATAAACGCTGGAACAAGGAGGACGACGGCCTTAGGTTGCGCAGACTCGGATCTCATTGCAGTTTTCCTGCCTTTGCGCTACAAACGTGTCCCACAAACGCGAACAAACTTAGAATTGCCGGGGCGTCGCCCGTTCGCCGTCCGCCCAGATGCTGGCCCCGCGCGCGTTAGTCCGCAAGACGGGACTCGGCCTGAGCCCACCGCGGCCCGCGCAGCGGCTGAAGCGCCGGGACAGTAACGGCGGACGTCAAGCAAGTCCCGCCGCGGGGTCCACAGGGCCCGGGCATCACGGCCGCGCCGCCGCACTCTGAGCGACGCCATGTCTGCGAGGGCGGCCCTAAGAGAGCGCGGTGACGTCAGTTCCTCCTTTCCGGGCTCTGATTGGTCAGAGCGCCCGGCGCTTCTGGTTGGCCGGCCCTGCTATCATCCCAGGGTGCATTGCGGCGCCGTTTCCTTTCCGCTCGGTTGTCTTCCTGCGCAGGAGGTGAGCGAGACTCGGTCCCGGCCTTTGGGCTTCATCCGGCGCCATCGGCCTGGCGTTGCTGCCAGCGCGGGCATGGATGGGCCCCTTCTTTTTCGCAGACAGCGTTGGGCCGGGGCCCGGGCTCTAGGCGCGGCCGGACGGCCCAGGCTGGAGGGTTCAGGGCGGAGGCCCGGGGGGTGCGCGCGCCCGGGGCGCGGCCTCTCACTCGCTCCCTCGCGTTCGCAGCCGCAGGGCCGTAGGCAGCCATGGCGCCCAGCCGGAATGGCATGATCTTGAAGCCCCACTTCCACAAGGACTGGCAGCGGCGCGTGGCCACGTGGTTCAACCAGCCGGCCCGGAAGATCCGCAGGTGAGAGCCGTGCGCTCGGGGCGCCCCTGGGGCTCGCGCCCGCGGCTGCGCCTGGGTTTGGGGGTGGCCGGTGCCAGGGCGGGGGGCGCTGCCTGGCGGCCTTAGGCGAGGGTGACCGCCGCTGGGCTTCTCTCCACCAGACGCAAGGCCCGGCAAGCCAAGGCGCGCCGCATCGCCCCGCGCCCCGCGTCGGGGCCCATCCGGCCCATCGTGCGCTGCCCCACGGTTCGGTACCACACGAAGGTGCGCGCCGGCCGCGGCTTCAGCCTGGAGGAGCTCAGGGTGAGTAGTGGCCGCGCCGCGGTCAGGAGGGCCCTGAGTCCCCTGTGCTGGCCTCAGTCGCGTGATGACAGTCTCCGGAATCGCTGGACGGCCTTGATGAAAGCGCGTTCGAACCCTTTTCCATCTGATCGCTGAGCCTCTCCCTCCGGGCCTCGGGGCGGGCAAAGCCGGGGCCCGCCTCCATCTCTCTCCGCTTCTGGGGCAGGTGGCCGGCATTCACAAGAAGGTGGCCCGGACCATCGGCATTTCTGTGGATCCGAGGAGGCGGAACAAGTCCACGGAGTCCCTGCAGGCCAACGTGCAGCGGCTGAAGGAGTACCGCTCCAAACTCATCCTCTTCCCCAGGAAGCCCTCGGCCCCCAAGAAGGGAGACAGTTCTGTGAGTACAGGGCTCTCCGGCCGTCCTGGCGCGCGGGGAAAGTGAGGCTGGGTTCCTTTATCGGTGACACCCGTCCCTGGGCCCTGCTGGGGTGAGAGGAACCAAAACATCGTGGCCTCTGATCCGCAGCAGACGCCTGTCTCGCAGGAGCGGATGATGAGCTAATCGGGACCACTAAGGTTCACCTGTGGTTTTCAGCAGGGATGACCTTAATGGTCACGGCAAAGGCTGTGTGACTTGGAGCCAGCTTTTTCTACTGAAATCATTGTCTCCCTAAAATGCTTCGTGTTCCAAAATATTCTAGAAAAACCTTGTAGGATAAGGTTGATAAGAGTCCATTGTATACGTTTCCGGATAGTTGAATTGGGGAACGATTTTCTCTGCCCCGTCCCTGGTTCACAGGCAGATATAACTGTCTCATGCGTGTTGTGTCAACTCAGTAAGATAGTCACCTAACTAGTAATGACTGTTCTCAACACTGGGGACACAAAGTATGTTGGAGGAAAGGCTCAGACACTGGTGCTGAACTCGGGATCCCCAGGGGGAAGTTTGGGGCCAGGCGGGGGTGGAGTCCTTGGGGCAGCGCGGCTAAAGGCACTTAACTCTTCTTGTTCATCAACAGGCTGAAGAACTGAAACTGGCCACCCAGCTGACCGGACCGGTCATGCCCATCCGGAATGTAAGTTAACACTTGTTCAAATCCAGGCTGTAGACGAGATCAGTGGGTGAACACGTGGATATCTGAGATGGGGATCAGGCCTAAGAAAGTTAACAGTGGCAGTTGTGGTGCGTGTGGAGGTTTGTGGAAAAGAACATTTCTTAGTTTTTACTTCTTGCAACCACGAAGCCATAAATTGGGAAGTTTTTTTGGAAAGAGAATTTCTCTACGTCGCTTACACTGGTTTTGAATTTCGAGATTTACAGACCTGAGCCGCTGTGTCGAGCTCAAGCAAGAGAAGGTTTTTTTTTTCAATCCCAGGGAAGGTGACTGACTCAAGGGTCGCTTTTCCGCAGCGCTTGGGCAGCACACCTGCCCTTCCGTCCCCTGGGGTCCTCTGGGTTCTGCTGTTGCCTGGTTGTGTCCTTGGCCATTGACACACTGGGTTCAACAACTCGTCTTTCTCTTGTAGGTCTATAAGAAGGAGAAAGCTCGAGTCATTACTGAGGAGGAGAAGAATTTCAAAGCCTTCGCTAGTCTCCGCATGGCCCGTGCCAACGCCCGACTCTTCGGCATACGGGCAAAAAGAGCCAAGGAAGCCGCAGAACAGGATGTTGAAAAGAAAAAATAAAGCCCTCCTGGGGACTTGTAATCAGGCAGCAGTCACGCTGGGTCTCCACGTGGTGTATTTCGTGGGAGCCGCTGGGCCTGGGATGGGGTTTCGCTGCTGTGACTTCCTTACAGGGGATTTGGGGCTTTCTTGAAAGACAGTCCAAGCCCTGGATTATGCCTTCCTTTCTGTGTTAAAGCACGAGGTGGTTTGGTTAGTGACTGATGTAAAATGGTTTTCTTGTGGGGAGGTTACAGAGGCTGACTTCGGCAGAGTGGACTTTTTTTTCTTCTTAAAGAGATAAGGTTGGGCTGGTGCTCACACTGTCATCCCAGCACTTTGGGATTGGCTCAGGAGTTCGACACCAGCCTGGCCAACATGGCAAAATCCCGTCTCTACTAAAAAAAATCAGCTGTGCGTGGTGCCATGCACTCATGGTCGCAGCTACTGGGAGGCTGAGGTGAGGGGATCACTTGAACCCAGGTGGCAGAGGGTGCGGCCAGCCAAGATCATATCATTGCATTCTAGCCTGGGCAACAGTGAGACTGTCTAAAAAAATAGACAAGGTCTTTGGCACACAGCTGGAGTACAGTGCCACAGTCATGGCTCACTGCAGCCTTGAACTCGTGCCCTCAAGCAATCCTCCCTCAGCTTTTCTAGTAGAGGGGTTTAGAGGCACGAGACCCTGCACCCAACCTAGAGTTGCCTTTTTTAAGCAAAGTAGTTTCTAGTTAATGTAGCATGTTGGACTTTGGGGCATCATTCTTGAGCCTGTTGTGCCTGGTGACCATGGTCCTGACCCTTCCCTTCGCTGGGCGTCTTCACCCCGACACCAAGGTATTAGATGGCCCTGCCAAGTGTCGGCCTCTCCTGTTAAAACATTCTGAAGCCATTGTTCTTGCTTCATGGACGAGAGGCAGCCAGAGAGTGTGCCATGGTGCCCTGGTCTGAGCTGGGCATCCCCGTGTCTTCTGTGTCCGAGGGCAGCACGGTTCCTTGTGCAGTGCCCAGACACCAGACACAGCCTGCCCTGGTCCTACCAGCTCACACAGCACCTGCTCTCCTTGGCAGCTATGGCCATGACAGCCCCAGAGAAGCAGCTTCAGGGACCCAGTCAGATTCTGTTTTCTCTGCATGCCTTTGCCAGGTGCAGGCATTGAGGCACCCAGTGGGCTGTTACTGGCGTGGAAATGGGTGATACTGGTACCTCTGCTGCTGCACTCAGTCACACTTGGTACCTGATGACACCTTGCTTGTTTGGAAACAGATCCTAAGCCATCTAGTAGATGATTTGGAGGCTATTGGCTACCGTTTGATGTCTACGGTGTACGTGCTGAGTTTGATCAGTTTGTATGTTTGGGAATCTTGTCCTCTAAAGTTAAGGTGGGCCAGGCGCAGCGGCTCATGCCTGTAATCCTAACACTTTGGGAGGCCAAGGTGGGTGGATCACCGAGACCAGCCCAGCCAATAGGCTGAAACCTCATGTCTACTAAAAATACAGTAATTAGCTGAGTGGTGGCGCACACACGTACTCGCAAGTCAGAGATCGCAGTGAGCCGAGATGTGCCACTGCACTCCAGCCTGGGTGACAGCGCGAGACTCCCTCTCAAAAGAAAAAAAAAAAAGGTTGTGCAAGGTGGATGGTTGGAAGCTTAAACCTAGGCTCAAATCCCTCTCACATGAAAGGGCATGAAGATCTCTGGTGGACTCCAACCTGGCTGAAGGCTGGTCGCGGGGGGTTGGGGGGTCACTGGCACTGGGCACTCCAGCCTGCTTCCTCCCTACCACACCACACTAGGGGACGGGCCTTTCCTGCTGTCTGCAGGGAGCACCTGGAGTAGGTGTGTAGTGTGATGTAAGTGGAGTAGAGGTCTGCACCCCATCACACCCCTTGCTGCTTTTACAAAGCACTGTGATCTGCTTGTTCCGGGGGCTCTCCTACCAGCTGACTTCACGGGGAAATCGGGGGGTTCAGGTATCGTCCGTGCACCTGGGGCAGGGCAGCCTGCACTGAACCTGCCAGAGTGTCCTCCCCATTTCACTGAACGAAAACCCCCAGGGCCATGTTCCTAACCTTATGTTCTCTCCATTTGCTTAATCCATTAAGACCCCTAACAGGAGAGGGTGGATTTTCTCTCTGGTGTCTCGGACCCTGCTGTTGGCCAGCGCCGTTAGCAGTAGCTCATTTTTCTAGGTTACGTTGGGACAATGTGAGTCTGGTGCCGGACGTGGCTGTGGGTTGGGCCGGTCTGCCTACTGCCTGCTGCTCCACTACCTGAGATGCAGCAGGTGCGGCTGTGCCCTTCCTTGGAAGGCTCCCTGCAGGATAGCTGGGGACTGGGCAGGTGGGTGAGCCAGCTGCCTGCTGGCACCCAGACCTTGTGGCTGGAGCAAGATCTCTCCTGATCCGGGTACGGGCCTGTCTGCTCCAAGACAGACTCTGCCACCACATGCAAAGGGGCCCTTTGTTTAGCTTAGTCCCTGGGCACCGTCCGATTCAGCACCTGGCGGCCCAGGTTCCCCCGCTGGTGGGGACACGTGCCTGAGTGTGGGCGTGCTGACGAAGGGGCCTCTCAGTTGTGATGTGTGGGCCTGACCTAGGGGGCGCTGTGGAACCTGGGCTGGAACCAGCCCTCTGTGCCAGGCCGCAGACAGGTGCTGCCGGCCCTGAGGGGCAGCTGCCATGGCGTGAGTCACTGGGAGCTGAGAGGAAGGGCCCCGACCCAGCCTCAGGCAAAACGGCTTTGGGGAACACCTTGATTTCAGCCATGTGAGCCCTCCCAGGGAGTGCAGCCGAGCTGTGAAGACTCAGACACGGACCCGTGTGCCACGAGCTTGCGGTCTGCTGCCCAGGGGAGGAAGTGCACCCAGGTTCCTCATTCCGTTTTGCAGGATTCCATCGGTGTGCGGGCACTTCCCATTCAGCCTGTCGCCCCCGGGGAGCACGGACTGGCTCTGTGGCGCCCTTGGCCTTGTAGAAGCGTTGGTTTTATGGCAGGTGCATCTCCCACGGTGGGCGGGGGTTTGCCAGCAATGCCCATGGGGATCATGGGGCCAGGTGCGCTCCAGCTCCTGCGGAACTGCTCAGGGATAGTCTCGGGAGGGGCTAATCGCATGCCCTGGTAATGCTCTGGTGATGCGCCGTTTCTCACGCCGGCTGCTCTGGCCCCAGCTAAAGGGGAAGACTGGTGCTGACAGGAGCTGCACACAATTTTTCTCCATGTGTTGTTTATTTTGCTTTTTCTTTTGGCTGGACATTAGGAATTTCAGTTTTCCCAGGTTGTATTTTTCCTTTTCTATTTTAAAATTATCATGCAGGGCTGGGTGAGGTCGCTCACGCCTATCTAGTCTGAAAACTTTGGGAGGCTGAGGTAGGAGGATGGCATGAGCCCAGGAGTTTAAGGCTGCAGTGAGCCGAGATCGCTCCACTGCCCTCCAGCCTGGATGAAGAGCGAGACCCTGTCTCAAAAAAATATATATTATGCAGTAGTTTCAACCCTGGAAGAGTAGTGTGCATCTTTGAATTTTAACATGTGTTCCTCTCCTATCCAGGCATAGTTTTATTTGGAATCTGGTTATCCTGTAGTTGCTTAGTTAAAAATATATGTAATTGCAATCATTTAAAAAGCAAAAAACAGGCCAGGTACAGTGGCTCCTGCCTGTAATCCCAGCACTTCAGGAGGCCGGGGCAGGCACTTTTGAACCCCGGAGTTTGAGACCAGCCCAGGCAACATAGCAAAGACCCATGTCTACCAAAAAAACAAAAATACTAGCCGGCGTGGTGGCACGCGCCTATAGTCCCAGCTACTCAGGACGCTGAGGCAGGAGGATTGCTTGAGCCCAGGAGGTCGAGGCTGCAGTGAGCCGAGACTGTGCCACTGCCCCCTCCGTCTTGGGTGACAGAGTGAGAGACCCTGTCTCAAAAAAAAAAAAAAAAAGGAAGAAATAATACTAATTAGAACTGTTGTAATTTAGAGGGAAATTACAGTCATTTTAGGTTATTTGGCGTTTTCTTCATTTCATTTAAGCCAGAGAAGAGTGGGTATCTGCATTCTCTTCTCTGTTTTCCTGTGTCTCCCTGTATTAGTTTTTTCTTTTTTCTTTTTTTTTTTTTTTGAGACGGAGTCTCGCTCTGTCGCCCAGGCTGGAGTGCAGTGGCGCAATCTCGGCTCACTGCAAGCTCCGCCTCCCAGGTTCCCACCATTCTCCTGCCTCAGCCTCCCGAGTAGCTGGGACTACAGGCGCCGCCACCTCGCCCGGCTAATTTTTTGTATTTTTAGTAGAGACAGGGTTTCACCGTGTTAGCCAGGATGGTCTAGATCTCCTGACCTCGTGATCCGCCCGCCTCGGCCTCCCAAAGTGCTGGGATTACAGGCGTGAGCCACCACGCCCGGCCACTTCTGTTTCGTATGAAACCAGCTGATGCCACACTGTGTGCCCTGTGTTGTGCCAGGCACCTAGACGGACCTGGCTTCTCTCTGTGCCTGTGAAGGGCAGACAGCGTTGTGTCTGTGCGGTCCTACAGGCAGGAGAACGGGAGGGCTGCTGTCTTCATTTGCTCACAGAGTTGGGCATCTCCAGTTACTGGACCTTCTTGTCTCTCTGGGGCCCCGTGACCTGCTTCCTCTCGTGTTTCATTGCGATGTTCATCATTTTCTTGAACTGCAGCTGGTCTTTATGTGTTAAGGAGCTTTTGCCTTCTATCACCTGTTGACAACATTTCTTTCCTGCTTGCTCTTTTCCTTTTGACTCGGAGAGCAAATGAGGCGTTCTTTCAGGAGATGGTGTGGTGGGATGGACCGCAAACTCAGCATCGATACTGGATGTCGGTCATTCTTTTTGACTTTCCAACATCAGAACCCACTTTTGGGGAATGGGAGGCAGAGACCCCAGCTCTGCCCCTCTGCAGAAGCTGCTGCACTGCCCAGGCTCCTTGCAGTGAGCTGAGCCCAGGCCCTGCCGGCCCCACACTTGGTTGATGGCTGTGAAGCCATAGGTCTGTGGGCAGAAAGGTCACATCACGTGTCCCGGGTGGGCACAGAGTCCAGACGGGGCGGGCGCCCTCGCTGTCCTCACCCTGGGCTTCAGGGCACCGCCCTGCAGTTCGAGAAATTTCCTGGTAGCCTTTTCCTCCGTCGGCTGGAAGAGTTTTCAGTTGCTTCGAAGCCCCTGCCGATGCTGAGGGCATGACCGGCCCCGGCTCTGGGCCCCTGTGTGGCTCACTCAGCAGGTATCGCACTGCCCACCACACCAGGCGCCGTGAGAGCACTGGGCTGCAAGGAAAGAGGCAGGGGCTGATGTAGAGCAGGTGCTGGGCAGACAGGCGGCCGCAGGGGAGGCAGAGGGGCCACCTAAAGGCAGGGAGATGAAGGGAGGACAACTTAAGAACAGTTTATGTCGGGTCCAGCCCTACAGGGTCAGTGGA